TGACTATTAAAAGGGGGGGGGGCAGTAAATGGCGATTCACTTTTGAGAGCACTCTTAATTCTCAAGATTGTGATGTATCAGCATAGTTGTTTAACAAAAAGGTTAACTGCATTTAAAATCTAAACTTTTTGTGTAATTACAAATAAAACTCAACTTTTTCATTTGGCAAAAAAATACCCAACCTTTAATAAGTATTGCAATCATGTATCAAAATCAGTTTCCGGCCATACAAACCTACCGGAAAAGTCGTCGTCGGAAAAAGTCACCGGTTCCGCTGAAGGTGGACGTCACTAGATGCGGCTTTGCGACAGGAGTTCAACGGTACATTCGGATTCACATGGGTCAAAGCGATTCACCGGAAATTTGCGAAAGAACGCCGTAGAAAATTTGAAGATCTATGATTTGGCCGAAAAATTGGAAGCCTCATCGTTGGAATTTCTTCGTGAAACTCGGATATGTTGTCGGCACGGAGGAGAGCTACAAGATCATGTAAAAATTTCAACATCCGGCGAAGTTGGCCGGCGGGGGGTGGCGGTTGGCGGCGGTCCGGCGGGTGAGACACAATTGCAATACTTATTAAAGGTTTGATATTTTTTTGCTAAATTGAAAAGGTTGGGTTTTATTTACAATTACACAAAAAGTTAGGATTTTAAATGTAATTAACCCTTAACAAAACGAGCCAACGAACAAGCCTCGATTCATTTGTTAAAGGGTGTTGTTATTTACTCCCTTATTACTACGTACCGCCCCCTTTGGACAATTTTGTCCCTGAAAGATTTTCAGAAAAAAAAAAACTTTGGACAATCTTGCGCCGTCCGATTTTACCGGTAGGACGCGACCATGCGTGTCCGCGATCGCCGGTAGCGTTCGCAATTGCTGGTAGGACGCGACCGTGCACGTCCGCGTTCTCCGGCCGGACGATAATTTTTTTTTTATATATATATTCAATTTTTTATTGTATTATAATTTTATATATCATTATGTTATAAATTTGTTATATTAAATAAAGTTAATTATATTTTTAATAATTGATATATTTATAATATAATTATATTTTTTATAATTAATATATATTTATATTATATTATATTTTTTATATATTAGAATTTTTTATGCAACTAATTAATATATATATATATTATTTTTAAATTACTTTATTAAATTATACTAAATATAATTATTTTATTATATTTTTATATTAAATATTATATATTTTATAGAATAGAATTTTTATATACAACTAATTAATATATATATATAATTTAAAAATATTTTATTAATTATATTAAATATAATTGAAAGATTTTCAGAAAAAAAAAAAAAAAA